ATTATTACTATTATTATTCTTCTTCTTATTCTTATTATTATTATGATTACTATTATTATTATTAGGGGGTATTTGTAGTCTATTTTTATCTACTTTGGAGGGGTCGTGCTCTTGCCTCTGCTCTGGCTCCTGGCCATGCGCTTGCTTTTGCTCCTGCTTCTGCTGCATCTCTTGCGACTGCTCCTGCTCCTAGGGTTTAGGGTTTAGGGTTTAGGGTTTAGGGTTTAGGGTTTAGGGTTTAGGGTAGCTCTTACTCCCGCTCTTGTTTTTTCTTTGCTCTTGCTGCTGCTTTTGCTGACGCTCTGGTTGCTGCTCTTGTTCCTGCTCTTGCTCAAACTCCTGCTCTCTCTTGCTTTTGCTCTTGCTCTTGCTGTGCTGAAAAACATAAGGCCAGGTATGATTTCGGGAGGATTCGCCCCAATGTGTTCTTTTGACTAGGGGGTGGTTAAAAGAAGGAAGGGGTTACATGGAACAGCATGCATATTTTACTACCCTTCATCTTACCACCACGATTGTTATCCCGATCTCAGGGCTACGAAAGCTATTGCTGCGCCTACTACGGCCGGCACTCTCTGCTATTCCTTTCTCTTGCAGGATCGGGGGTTGGTTTTCGAGATTTGAAGCCCAGAGAGTAGAGGGTGGTTACTTGAGACGACCACTAACCAATGACAACAATCCAGCCATTTATGCCATAAGGCTCCTGTGGGATGAGTCAATAAGTCTGCGAAAAAAGGTAAACAGAAAGAGAGAGACACCGAGAGAGAGAGAGAGAGATATATATATATATAAACAACTCAAACAAGTCTAAAAGAGGTAGGCAGAAAGAGAGAGCGAGACAGAGAGAGAGAGAGAGAACAAAACACACACACACACACACCAGATGCATTGGTTGAGATCTGCTGGCTGTGTAGTGCATTGGCTTGCCTAGGGATGATGGGTTGTCTGGAGTTGGATTGCTTAAGGGACAATAGGAGGGACCCCTAGAAGGGACCCCTAATCCAAACACCCCATATGCACCTTATATACCCCTTATATAGTCTCATAAAGCCCCTATGTAACCCCCAAGGGTCCCCTTAAGGGTCCCTACTTTAGTCCCTTGAA